CATCATCACCCTCTTCGTCGGCACCGACTCCACCGCTGGAAAATAGCAAGTGCCGAAGCGCTAGTGAACCAGCCTCCAGGGCTGCACTGTGTCGGCTTACAGAGAACACACCGGCACCGCAACATCAGGGCTCCCCCCAGGGTTGAACCAGTCACCACTGCAGGCAGGGGTTAATCATACATGGGCACAAGGTTACTCTCTTCACCAAGCCCTGAACAAACAGTTTTCTCTCCACAGCCTCGATCACCTTCTTCTGCCTTCTCTGAGCCTCACACATGAGGTTCATGCTATCACTCTCTCGCGAAGACATTCTCAACAATACTCACTATCGCCTCGTCGTTACCGCAGATGTTCTCGATCACCATTGTACACCAGATGCAGATCTCACTTACCTAAATTGCCTACACGCTCATCTTCATCTCGATATCATCACAATTACAGATGATGATACTCACCTGCATATTCATCGTCTCGTTACTATTGTGATCATCTTCGCTACCGTAGTGATTATCATAAGGAATGACGATACTCTTCTGGGCACTCTTTCTCCCAGTCTTCACGACGTTACCGGTATCACTCTCGCAACAGCTCCAGGCTTCCCACGCCACCATGCGCTTCCATTCAATCTTCCACACTGTCTGCAAATGTGCCTCTCCCTCAAGCACAGTCAGAACCAGTACAAGTAGTAGCACTGGAAAAGGCACAACCACAGGAGCAATCCTCAGTGGACCACTCTGTTGCTTCTTCCTCTCTGGATGATGTGGTGTTCCCTGGTGACTCTTCTCCAGTAGACGACACTCGTCAATTCCAGGAGCTTTTTAAAAGAGTGGCAGAATCCCAGGACCTGCATGTGGTAGAGGTTCAACAAAAGCAACATAAGCTTTTGAAGAACCTGCAGAAATCTCAGAAATCCCAAATGGCATTACCCTTTGATGACACAATCCTAGAAATTGCTGATGATATATGGCAAACACCTGCATCCTCTCAGCCCACTCACAAGAGGGCAGACAAAATATTTCATTCCCCCGAAGGGGGTGGCATTTCTGTTCATGCACCGTCAGCCGAATTCGTTGGTGGTGGATGCAGCTCAGCAAAAATCCAAGATGCCATAACATAGGAATGCTGCTGCTGATAAAGAATCCAAACGGTTAGACCTTTTTGGACGAAAGGTTTATTCTTCCGCCACACTCATACTAAAAATGGCGAATTATATTGCTCATCTGTCTAACCATAGCTTCGATAATTATTCAAAGATGGTAGCAATTTTAGAGCACTTGCCTAACGAAAAATGGCAGCTCTTATTCAGTTATCCAGGAAGGCTATACGGCCTCAACAATGGCCTTGCAAATTTCCCTGGATATTGCTTGATGCAGCGGCATGGGCCATGGCAATGTCAGTGGTCATGAGACTGTCTTCGTGGCTACAGATGGCGTCAGTACCCAAGGACTTATAATCAAAGATAGAAGACTTGCCCTTTGACAGACAGAGTCTATTTGCAGAGAAAACAGATCGTCTTGCATTCTGGGAAAGATTCTAGAACTACCCTGAGAATGTTAGGGATGTACACACCCCATAGCATCACAAACGGTATACTACTTACTTCCGACAGAGGCCTTTCTCGTATGGGGCGCCCAGATTTAGACGACAGGACCACAACAACAGCAACTCCCCAGATCATGCCAGCAAAAACTAAGACCACAAACCGGCTGAAACCCCAATTCCCAGAACAACAGACAGCAAGTTTGATGGTCCGATCGAGGGACTGAGAACCATCCCATTAACGTACTACCCAGGCGCACAGAAGTTATTCCATCATCGATTGAGACTGTACCAGCACAGATGGTTTGCCATCACCACAGATCACTGGGTCTGGGAGTTAATAACATCAGGATACTCCATCCCTCTTCTTTCCCTTCCCCCCACTTCTCCTCCATCCCTGTCTTTTTTCAGGGACCCATCTCATGAGGACCTCGTAATGCAAGAGGTTCTCCATCTCATAGAGATTGGTGTGGTGGAGGCAGTAGCTGATCATTTCTGGGGCAAGGGATTCTACTCCCACTGTTTTCTCACCGAAAAGAAATCAGGAGGATGGAGACCTATTTTGGACCTTCAAAATCTCAATCGGTATTTCAAGAAACAGAGATTCAGGATGGTGACTTTAACTTCTACATGCAAGATTCTACATTCCCAGCATTGAACAAAGGGGATTGGTTCACGTCTCTCAATTTACAAGATGCGTATTTCCATGTAATGATACACCCGGCACACAGATGTTTCCTGAGGTTCGTCGTAGGCACACAGCATTTTCAGTACAAAGTTCTTCCGTTAGGTCTGTCGTCCGCACCCAGGGCTTTCTTGAAGACCCTCATGGTGGTGGCAGCATATCTTCATTGTCAAGGCATCATGATCTTCCCATATCTAGACGATTGTCTGATCAAGGCTCATACGTTCGAACGTGCACTGACGGCCACGCAGGTCACAAGAGGCTTGTTCACGGATCCGGGTCTTGGGTTGAACATCCCGAAGTCCTTGCTCGTACCACAAAGATCCCTCATGTTCATTGGGGCATGGTTAGAGTCTACAGCGGCCAAGGTCTATCTTCCTACAGAGAGATTCCACAGAATACAGAGCCTCAAGCAGACACTGTCCCTCAGCCCAAGAGTGTCAATACTTACCCGTCTGCAACTCTTGGGGCACATGGCGATGATGACATACGTGGTACAGCACGCCAGACTACGCCTCAGGTGCCTGCAACATTGGTTGGCGTCCATATATCACCCGGGCAATTGCGATCTACACAGGCTAGTAACATTGCCATTGACAGTGAAATGATACCTCACGTGGTAGACGTCTCCGACCAACTTGCTCGCCAGAGTCCCTTTCCACCGTCCGCATCCCACTGTCCAGGTTACTTCAGATGCCTCTCTCCTAGGATGGGGAGCCCACTGCAAGGGCGAATTCGCTCAAGGCCAATGGAATGCTCAGGAAGCCCTTCAGCACATCAATTTTCTGGAACTCAGGATGGTATTCAACGCATGCAAGACATTCCTTACGAGGATCTGTGGTCAGATGGTTCAAGTCTTCTCCAACAACAACACCATGGTGTCCTACATCAACTGACAAGGCAGAGCCCGATCCAGATCCCTGTGTGCAGAAGCCATGAAACTATGGAATTGGTGTATCAGTCTCAGAATTACTATTATGGCAACATACCTACCCGGCAAAAACAATTCTATTGCAGATGCCTTGAGCAGACACCTGTTTCCTCAACACGAGTGGGAACTCAATCTGGAAGTGGCTCTCTCGCTATTCCAACGCTGGGGACACCCCACTATAGACTTGTTTGCCCCGCATCTCAATGCAAAATGTCCCAAATACTGTTCCAGAGCCAGTCTGGGCCCGAAGTCTCTGGGGGATGTGTTTCTGATAGGCCGGACTCATCATCTTCTCTACGCTTTTCCTCCTGCCCCACCTTTCCTGAGAGTGCTGGAGAAGATGATCAACGACAGGGCCATGGTGATACTGATAGCTCTGTTCTGGCCCAGGCAGACGTGGCTCCCTCTTCTACTACAAATGTCTCGCCGACCACCATATCAGCTACCCAAACGACCAGATTTGCTCATGCAGCTGGGGATGTTCATGCCACAATCACAAATCGACCAAATGCACCTCACGGCATGGCTCCTAGCTGGTTCTGTAGCACAGAAGCGCTTTGTTCGCAAGAGGTGAAACAAATATTACTTCACAGCAGATGTGATTCCACCCAAAGACTTACCTTTATAAGTGGCACCGGTTCCATTCGTGGTGCATAGCCAATGATTTCGATGCAATGTCCACTCCAATTCATCGCATTCTGGACTATGTCCTCCACTTACACCATTCTAAATTAGGCCTTTCGTCTATTAAGGTCCATCTCTCGGCGATTTCTTCATTCAATCAGTTGAGGGTTTTTCAGTTATTTCTCACCCGATGACTAAGAGCTTCCTGAAGGGTTTAATGAACTTACACCCTCCGCACAGGAAACCACCTGTTCCGTGGGATCTTGAGTTCGTTCTGAACACTCTCACATACCCACCCTTTGAGTCTCTAGCCACCTGTGACATTCAGACTCTTACCATGAAGGTGGTATTCCTTCTAGCTATAACGTTGGCCAGACGAGTTGGGGAATTGGCAGCTCTTTCGGCCGCTCCTCCATATACTTTGTTCACCCACCAAGGGGTAATACTTCGATCTCACCCAAAATTTCTGACAAAGGTGTATTCGGAATTCCATATCAACGAACTGATGGTACTCTCAATATTTTACCCCAAACCGAATGTAACGACTTAAGAAGCCCGTCTACATACCTTAGACATCTGCAGGGCACTCGCCTTTTATCTGGAATGGACTCGCCCATTTCGACCATCCCAGCAGTTTTTCCTATGCTCTGATGGAAGATCCAAGGGCCAAGCATTGTCTTCACAGCATATATCTAAAATAATCGTGAAATGTATTACCACATGCTATACTTTACTAAATAAGTCCATATCTACGCCTATTATGGCTCATTCTACTAGAGCAACTTCCACTTCCCTAGCTTTTCTTAAAGGAGTCTCAATCCAAGACATTCTCCGCACGGTGACATGGTCTTCGGACATAACTTGCTAAACACTAGGCCATTAACCCAATTGCCCGAGAATCAGCACTGGCCTCTGCAGTGCTCTCCATAGCAGACAGATCTTGACTCCGATCCCACCTCCGCAGATGAGGCTACTGCTCTGTACTCACCTCAAGTGGAGCACCCACAGAGAATAAGAGGAAGTTACTCACCCTGTGCAGTAACGACATTTCTTTGAGATTTGTTCCCCCGGGGGTGCTCCACGACCTGCTCTCCTTCCTTCTTCGGAGTTTCTTCCTTATGTTTTTCAGGAGTGATCCGCCAGTTCTTCCTAACCAAGAAGCCAGACTGCACGCAAGTTAGCAACCAGTGCAAACAGCACGCACCCCATGCATGCGTGGTCCCACGGCTGATGACTCTCCGACCTGTGGCACTGGGACGAGTTCGACACGTCAAGTGGAGTATCCACGGGGGGACACACCTCGAAGAAACATCATTACTGCACAGGGTGAGTAATTTCCTCTTCAGACTGCAGTTTGCCCCTGTGGAAGGGGCTAGATGAAGACTGGCAGTGGGTCACGGAGACAGGTGGATGTTTGCTTTACATTCACATAGAATGGAGCAAACACAGTGACATCACTCGAAAAAGAGAAGGTTACTCACCATGTGCAATAACTGAAGTTCTTCAAAATGTGTTCTGCTGTGGGTGTTCCACTATCCACTCTCTCCACTTCAGATTTTAAATGGTAACAGGTGGCGCACATTTGCTAAATTACCTTTACTACAGTAGTACAGAAATATTTTAGCTGTTTAATATATTTGGTCTGTTGTTGAGAGCTGAGGTAAGTATTAGAAATGGAGAAGGAGATTCAAGAGAGTAGGTGAGGCTTCTCTACTTTGGAGTCTGATTCAGAGGATTCCATGGTGGGGAAGGAACTGAGAGTGTCAGGATGTGAGCGCTCTAAACCAACTCCTACAATGCTACAAGACACCAACTATGCACACACATCTCGACCAAGCACATCTACCGAAGATCTCCGATCATCGGTGCAGGGATACGCCATCACCTGGAGTGGAGCACCCACAGAGACACACATCTCAAAGAACCTCAGTTACAGTACAAAGTGAGTAACCTTCTCTTCTCCTTTCTTCTTGTGATAGCATTTTATGTGCTTGAAAACTGTTATCATGTTCCCTCTGAGTCTTCTTTTTTCCAGAGTAAACAAACCCATTTTCAGCCTTCTTTCATAGGTCATGTTTCATATTCGCCAAAGCACTGCAATCTCTCCTATTTTGATATCGTCTACAAACTTTATAAACAGGGCTCGACAAATAATACAATCTGCTCGCCCGTGGCAGATTGTAACACAGTTTGGCGAGCCCTGTTTATAAGTGTACTGTCTATGTCATGATCTAAATAATTGATGAAATGTCTAGGTGTTTCCAGTGCCATATGTGCTGCTGATGTAGTGGGTTTGGCTCATCAGAATGTTCATGTTTAGTTATTATTTAGGTGTTGCTAACATTTTCCTGAAGAATGTGAGATAAGCGAAAGGGCAATTTTAAGTATTTTGTATCACAGCTAAACAAAAATGGAGTTTAATGGGCTAAAGTAAATATATTTCTCTGGCTCTAGGTCTTGCTCCCTGTTGAATTTCAAAACATGGAGTTCCTTGAGCTCTTCAGAAAAAAAATGCAAGAATTATTGATAGTGGAAAGTGTTAGGCAACCTAAGTGGTCATTGTTCACATCATATACAGTGCAGGGAAATGAAATAGGGGCTCAGGGATCAGTCCCAAACAAACAATTGGCATGGGATGGATGAGGGATACCAGCGTTTGTCTACATTGCATGATCTAGACTGGCGAGCTGGTCTGGAACTAGAGGAACGACAGAAATGATTATTTAGGCAGGGTTAAGGGCACACTCCAGTCTTTACTGTGGAATTTCTGTAACAACAACTGATTGGAAGTGTGAATGGAACTAATTTCCTATGAAGTGAATCTGTTTGTACCAGGTATGTTGTATACTGAAACACCTGTCAGAAAGTGCAGTAGCTGTAAACACCCCTGGAGAAGTTGGCTTGGTAGAAATGTCTTTTAGGCTCAAACTGTCTATTTCCCATCTATCTGTGCAATGTATTGAATGTAACCCATAGACACCAGATTATAAATAACAGGTGGCAAATATTTGCCAAGTTAGCTTTATTGCAGTAATACAGAAATATTTTAGCTGTTAAATATGTTTGCTGCTTAGTTAAGAGCTGGGGTGAGTATTAGAAATGGATAAGGAGACAAGAGAATAGGCTAGGAATTGTTTGTACCCCCATTTCCTCTTTGAGCTTGTCTGTACATGGATTTGTTCCTGAATAATTATTACTAATTAACTCCATGTCTAGACCCACTTATTCAAAAATAAGGGTGCCGTGTTCCTGTTTAGCTTTACCCAGATAGTCAGGCACAGTTAATCAGGAACAACTTCAGGTGTAGCCAGGTCTTAAAATGCCACCTGCCTCACAGTTATTCACAAATTAGGTATTGCCAGGAATAAATAGCCTGTGACCAAAATCTAAGATTTCTACACTGGGAAAATACATCATATTAGAAAATGTTCTGACAATGTGATGTTTAACACAATTTGAAGGGCCAGTCAAGTTTACGAAAATATTAGTTGTTCATGGTTAACCATAGGGTCCAGTGAATACATTTTAAAACATGACTCATCCTAGTCTACACTAGTTGCTAGTGATGTTTAACAGCATGTTAGATTATGCATTTTCTGACTTTTCCAGGGCAGAACATATCTCAGAAGGCAAATCATGTGCCTCTGAGTCAGGTTCTTCTCATCAAGTTGGGAGGCTGGATGTGGGGTGTTGCATACTCCATCAATTCCATGGAGTCTCAGTGCGGTAGCAGAAAATGGAGCCATCTGCAAACAGGGAGGGGGAGCTGCTTCAAGAATTCTGCTGAAGGACATGTGGAACCAGTTTGAATTACAGGCGAACCCCGCACTTACGGCCTAATTAGTTCCTGGAGAGCCGTCGTAAGTCGAGCCATTGTATAGGTGCAATGTTGTAAATGGTGGTTCTGATCCTGGAAATCAATTTCATACCCTAAAAATACCAAAATTGACTATGGAAATGGAGGAAAATAAAACTAAATAGTTCAAATAATGCACAAATATAACTAAAAGTGAAGACTGATGTGGTGGAGACGCGTGCAGTTCAAGTAGCAGCTGCAGACTGGCGAGTCTGACTGTCTTTGTACGTTTCCTGTTTTGGGATGATGCATGGAGTCTGCGTCATAAATGCGAGATGTGGACATAAATTGGGGGTTTTTAGGAGCTATCTTGCATGAAAAAAATGGCTGTAAATGCGGGGGGGTTGTAAGTTGGGCGGTTGTAAGTCAGGGGTCGCCTGTATTGGCTGCACACCCTAAAGGGAGCATTAGGAGATTTGAAATTCAGACCTGCCTGTTACGGCCTATATTTTAAGAATTTAGGTGCATTCTTACGTGAGTATAAAATAGGATTGCCAGGTTGGCTACTACCCTAGAGCCACCAAACTGGGAACACAGGGGGAAGCAGCAGAGCCTGCTCTGCAAAGCAGCCACCTGCTACCCAAAGCAGAGAGAGGCAGACCTGGGGGCAACACAATGGCAGGGCAGGGAGGGGGCGACTACGGGTAGGAAGGTGACTCCCCATAGCCAGGTCTTTGGGTGTCCCACTGAGAAGAAGAAAAAATTCCACCCCAGTAAGTTTTGGCTGAGAGCCCATGGAAGGCAACTAAACACAACTACAAAGCACCTGTGGGCTTGTCTCCTGGACTACGGCACCACAATGCACTTGACCAGCGCTCAGGAGCAGGGACAGGGCTTCTCCTCCTCCCCAAGGCATCACTCCTCCTCCGACGCAATCAGCTGAGGGCTCCCAGCGCCGATTGCACCCTGCCTCCCAGCCACTCCCCCCACCCGACTTCCACACACAACTAGAGGCTCCCAGCACCGATCGTGGCCCCACCTCCCAGCCTGGGAGTCCCAGCTGGGAGATGGGGTTGTGATCACTGCTCTGGGTGCCCCAGAATGGGGGGAGGGGACTTGTTGTCCTGCGTTCCTTTCCCCCTCCCCCCCTTGACTAAAAAATACTGCGTGTCCGGTATTTTTTGGGAGACCATCTGGCAACCCTAGTATAAAAACAAATAATCAAAACCACCGTCTGCCTATATATGATAATCTGAGGCCTTGTTTTTAAGCTAAGGCTTTTGGCTATGCAGCAGGGGCATCCATAAGATAGGAAACATACAGTCATGTCCTGACATATCCCAAACCAGTCACATTGAAATAAGGCAATTTGGGCTGTTAAGAAATTCAGTCTGTCATCTCCAGATAAAAGGAAGAGTCTAGAAGATTTAAAGAAAACTTAGGTTGAGAGCTTTCTGCCTGGCAAGGACTATTTATCAATAGTTGGGGTTGTAAAATCCTCATTTCTTTATTGTTTTGTCATTATGCTCCCCATCTCTGTATTGTTTATCTATATTGCCTCTGTCTGCTTTGATTTTTTTTTCTGGGTGTAAAGCAGTTAAGCTGGTGGGATGTAATTGGTTATATAATCAGTGCTACAGTATATTAGAACTGGGTAGTTAAATTTCAATAGAATCATGGTTAACGTATAGCTGAGAATATTACTATATAAGTTGGAGACAAACAGGAAGTAAGTTGGAAAAAAACAAGGCAAAAAGTAAAGGAAACTGGTTTCATACTTGCTGGAAGCTAACCTCAATTAAACACTGAATTGTTACATCTCCAGACTTTGGGGACTGCTGTTCTCTGATCACCTGGGAAGGCCCAGGGAAGTGGGAGGGTGAGGGGCTAAGCCTTCTAACAGGGAGAATCCCTGACAAGCATCTAGCTCATTTGTTTAAATCTCGCTCTTCTCTTTCTCTTTTCTTGTGTCTCTTTTCCCTGTCTCCCTTTCTTCCTACCCAGTACCAGCTCCTCTTAGAACTTTTCTAGTCTAGGAAAAGAGCTGGTTTGAAAATATGTTAAAATATATAGCTAGCCCTATTTTAGACAGGACAGGTTGCATGTTAACACTTGTTAGCTGATCACCGGAAGACACCAGGGGAGCCTAGGGTTCATCTCAGCCGGCAACACATTAACGTACAACTTGCCATGTAAATACCAGGGTTGTAAAAGGTAACACACCTGTTTTTAAAAATGCCTTTTTTCTAGTATAAAGACCCTTGGTTTCCAAGTTTAAACTAGGACAAACCTAAAATACTTCGTATAGCTTAGAGACAATTATTTCTGCTAAGCAACCATCTAAAGGCTGGACAGCTATGAGAGTTATGCTCCTGGAATATGATGAATTCCTTGCTTCCAGTGTTCGGATATTCCCTGCTTCCTCCTCAGATCCGGGAGTTGGTTCCTGAATCCCAAGCCTACATGGACCTGTTAGCCTTTGAACGCAAATTGGACCAGACCATTATGAGGAAGCGGGTGGACATTCAGGAAGCTCTGAAGAGACCAATGAAGGTATGACATGGAGAATGATACTATTGACTGAATAAGGAAAAACATCCTTGAGTGAGTTATTGAGCTGTGGAGCCATCTCACTGGAGAACTAGAGGAAGGCTCCATTGATAGGAAAAGATGGCTAAGGCACTTGAGAATATATGGTTCAGTTCAGGAGCTCTCATCCATCTCTGATTTATGTGAATCTTTATGATAAAAAGTAATCATCTCTTTCATTTACAAATGTTATTCCTTGAGATTTTTAAGCAAAAAGGGGAGGAAAAGGAGATAGGACAGTAGACATGCTACATTGGATAGACATTAAATATTTTGTTTGAGATTGGAGAAAATAAGAAATAAAATGATAAATTTTAGTAAGCAATCATATACTCCCAGATCCTGCAAAAACTTAAACATATACTTAGTCCCATATTGGACAACTCATGTGAGTGAAATTACATATGTGTAAAATTGTCTGAAGGATCAGACCGAAAGATAAGACTGTTTTCCAAATCCTCAAGCACTGCTCTTGTTCTATATGTTATTTTTTTCCTACATTTGCCAGGTCATTCTGTTCATTACATAATTCTGCAATGCTTAATTTGCTCCCTGCTTTCCAGTTCCATAGAGTACTACTTATGGTCACTGCAGATGCTGCTTGCCATAGGTGAATTACTTATATGGATAGAAACCCCCCTTGCATCAATGTAAGGAGCATTTGTGCTATAGCTGTGCCACTGTGTCCTAGACACATTCTTGAGCAGTCACAAAAGAAATTTGGGGCAAAGCCAAGAATTGAGCCTAGGTTGGAACCTTAGTCCACCGGCTTGGAGGTCCACCCTTACTCCAATTAAAAATGGCTTTGTCTACACTTCACAGCTTTTAGAGATTGATGTGTCACTTAGGCAGTGTAAACTCTGACATTTGCACTCATAAAATCATAGAATCCTAGTATACTAGAACTGGAAGGGACTTTGAGAGGTCATGAAATCCAGTCCCCTACCCCCATGACAGGACCAAGCACCATCTATATGAGAGGTTGGCAACCTTTTTAAACCAAAGAGCCAAACTACATCAAAACTCAGAACAAGTGGATGGAGATTCCACAACCTCCCTGGGCAATTTATTCCAGTGTTTAAACCACCCTGACAGGAAGTTTTTCCTATTGTCCAGCCTAAACCTCCCTTGCTGCAACTTAAGCACATTGCTTCTTGCCCAATCAGAAATCAAGGAGAACAATTTTTCTCCCTCCTCCTTGTAACACCCTTTTAGATACTTGAAAACTGTTATCATGTCCCCTCTGTCTTCTTTTCTAAATTAAACAAACCAAATTCTTTCAGTCTTCCCTCACAGGTCATGTTTTCTAGACCCTTAATCAGTTTTGTTGCTCTTCTATGGACCTTCTCCATGTGGTGAGAAGGTCCATAGAATGTGGTGCCCAGAGCTGCATACAATACTCCATGAGGCCTAATTAATGCAGAGTAGAGTGGAAGAATAAGAACGGCCATACTGAGTGAGACCAAAGATCCCATCTAGCCCACTATCCTGTCTGCCAACAGTGGCCAATATCAGATGCCCCAGAGAGAGGGAACACAACAGGTAATCCTCACATGACCCCTCCTCTGTCACCCACCACCAGAGAAACAGAGGCTAGGGATACCATTCCTACCCATCCTGGCTAATAGTCCTAACCTCCATGAATCTATCTAGCTCTATCATGTCTTGTTCACAACACTCCTCTTAATGCATCCCAGAATCATGGTGGGTTTTTTGTTGTTGTTTTTTGGGGGGGAGTTTGGGTTGTTGGGTTTTTTTTGTAAGAGTCACACTGCTGACTCATATATAGCTTGTGGTCCACTATGATCCCTAGATCCCTTTCTGCAGTACTCCTTCCTAGACAGTCACTTCCCATTCTGTATGTGTGAAATGGATTGTTCCTTCCTAAGTAGAGCACTTTGTATTTGTTAAACTTCATGCTATTTACTCCAGACCATTTCTCCAATTTGTCCAGATAATTTTGAATTACGACTCTATCCTCCAAAGCACTTGCAACCCTCCCAGCTTGGTATCATCTGCAAACATCATAAGCGTACTCTTTATGCCATCATCTAAATTGTTGATGAACAGAACTGGTCCCAAACCTGCAGAACCCTACTTATGCCCTTCCAGCAGGATTGTGAACCATTAATAACTACTCTCTGAGAATGGTTATCCAGCCAGTTATGCACCCACCTTATAGTAGCCCCATCTAGGTTGTATTTTCCTAGTTTATTGATAAGAAGGTCATGCGGGACTGTATTAAATGCTTTACTAAAGTCTAGGTATACCACATCCACTGCTTTCCCCTTATCCACCGGACTTGTTATCATAGCAAAGAAAGCTATCAAATTGGTTTGATATGATTTGTTCATCTAATTGTCTTCCTTAATTATTTGCTTTATTATCTTTCCTGGCACAGAAGGTAAGCTGACTGGTCTGTAGTTTTCCACATTGTTCTTATTTCCCTTAGAGATGGGCACTATATTTGTCCTGTTCCAGTCTTCTGGAATCTCTCTTGCCTTCCATGGATTTCCAAAGTTGATAGCTAATGGCTCAGATTTCTTCTTTATCAGGTCCTTGAGTATTGTAGGATGCATTTCATCAGGTTTTGGGGACTTATACTATTTTTAACTTATACTTTTTTTATTTTAACTTCTAAATCTACCCCATTTTCACTAGCATTCACTATGTTAAGCATCCATTCACCATCAGTCTTCTTGGTAAAAACCAAAACAAATAAGTTGTTAAGCACCTCTGCCATTTTCAAATTTCCTATTGTTTTTCCCTCTTCACTGAGCAATGGGCCTACCTTGTCCTTGGTCTCCCTCTTGCTTCTAATATAATTGTAGAATGTCTTCTCGTTACCCTTCATGTCTCTAGTTATTCCTACAAACTGTGCCACTCCTACAAACTGTGTTTGCTTTATCAGCAGGAGAGCACTGCTGATGACAAAACACTGTTTACATTAGCACTTGATGTGTGTAGTTGGGGCAAGGAGTTAGCACCTGTGAGTGGTAAAAGTTTTGTAGCTCAATTGCCAGTGCAGAGAAAGCCAATGACATGTTAGCAGTGTTGACAGTTAATGTAAAACCCAGTGATACTGTTTAACATCTCACAATGCTGTTGTTTCAGGCTCTCTGCAGATTTAGGAAGGCAAACTTTAGTGACTTACAAGTTTATGGGCAGAAAGAACTTAAGATTCTTTTCACGTGGTGAGCTAAATTGTTAATTAGTATAAATTAGCATAGCTTCATTGATATTTTGAAGCTATGCCATTTTACATCAGGATATGGTTCCATTAAAGAAAATGGAAAACATATATTCTCTTTGACTGTTTGACAAATTTAAAATAATGGGTGGATTTTGTGGCAAATTCCTCAACCATGAAACTGAGAAATATTGAAAGCTTGTTTGCAGAACTTTTATAAGATCTGGAACAGGAAAATATATCTAAACTCTAGAACTCTGAGATTTCATATATCAGTCTAATTTCTCTTTGCTCATGTAGCTGCAGTTAGATTCCAAAAGGAACAATCAAACATGTTTCTAATTTACCTCCAGCTCATGAATGATTGTTCAAATGCAGCAGTCATGAAATTCAAAATCTGTCTGAACAAAACTGAGATCAGGTACTTTCTCTTTGGTTGGAAGTATTCTTTTTTATTTATTTTTATTATTGCTGAAGCCTTGGTGACAGCAATTGTGAATGGTCCCCAGCATTTCCATCGTTAGCTAAATGCCTGCTTTGAATCACTTGGAACCTTGAAATAGTTGCCAGAGGAACCGCCATTTTCTCAGACCTTCTCTCTGCCTGAAGGTGAATTATTTTGAAGTTTGAGAAAAATGGTTTAAGGATTTTTGAATGAGAGGAGACTGGAACATAGACGCTTACTTTGGCCTTTGTGAGCAGCTGTAGTGCTGAAAAAAATGGCAGCTGTTTGGATAGCTCAAATGGCAGGGGGCAGATCAGGGTTGGGTGGGGAATGCAAGCACTGATTCATCTGCCAGCTCACACTACTGCTGGCAGCAATCCCAATCAGCTGTTGTCTTCTCCAGCCCTGATCCTGCCTCCTGTCATTTCTTTTTTTGTCTCTTGCTATTTGCATGCTATATACCATGTCCATCACCGTATTGTCAGCAGTGCCTCATCTAGCAGGATAACCTTCATGGAAGGCCACTTCTCTTAATTCTTTTATAAACTATCAGTATGACTATCACAGGCCCTTGGGCCTCTGGCTGCATGTTTGCTTGGTGGCATGCCAGTAATAGCCAGGGACAGATTTCCAATTAGGCACAGTAGGCGTATTTCTAGGGATGGCTTATCTCTCTTAAACTGTGTGCCACAGGAAGGTCAGGTAGAGGTGGCGTGGGATGTGTCATGAGTAAATCCAGCCCTGGTAATATCCCTTTAAATGTTTTAGCTCTAGTGGCAGTTCTGTGACTAGGGCGAAGCCTATGACCAACACAAAACCATTTACAAGGCTTTCTGCCTCCTACACAGGGATAGTGGGAAGGAGAGTTCTAGTATGATTCTTTACATAGCAGGCAGAAAGGGTATGGACTTTTCACTTTTTCTTCTTGGGGTCATGTTTTCTAGACCTTTAATCATTTTTGTTGCTCTTCTTTGGACCTTCTCCAATTTCTCCACATCTTCCCTGAAATGTGATGCCCAAAACTGGACACAATACTCCAGTTGAGGCCCAATCAGTGGAGAGTATAGGGGAAGAGTGACTTCTTGTGTCTTGCTCACAACAGTCCTGTTAATGCATCCTAGAAAGATAGTTGGTTTTTTTTTTGCAAGTGTCACACTGTTGACTCATATTTAGTTTGTGGTCCACTATGACCCCTATATCCCTTTCTGCAGTACTCCTTCCTAGACAGTTGCTTCCCGTTCTATATGTGTAAGACTGATTGCCTTAGACCATTTCTCCAATTTATCCAGATCATTTTAAATCATGACCCTATCCTCCAAAGCAGTTGCA